GAGGCTCGACCGCTTCTGCGGTCTGGGGGCCGCATAGGCGGAATCGCTTCTGCGGTCCCTAGGCCGCTTTTGCGGTTTCCCCTGGCCTGGCCCTTCTCCGCTTCTGCGAACTATTGACCGCATCTGCGGTCCAAGAACCGCAGATGCGGTTATGACAGAAGCAGCAAGCTTCAGTTATTTTCCAAATTCTAACTTCACTCGAGCCCCGCTCGTTTGACGCTCGAGGCTCCCGTGCCCCGCCCGAACATACCGACAAGTCTGAAATCACGAGGAGCACCTACTCGAACCCTCGAAACACTCAAAACAACGCTAAATCGGGGAATCAACCCCAAAACCAAATGAATAAAATCATTGAACTTCAAGTTCTTAATTCTCCTCCAACGGGTCAAAACGCCCTTAAACTACTCGGATTGACACCAAATTTTACGGGTAAGTCTTAACTGATATTTCGGACTTGTACCAAGTTTCGGAATCGAGATCCGAACACGATACCTGGGAAAACAATGATTTCTTAGTTTATTTAAACCTTTGAAACTTTAACTTAACAATTTCACATAAAAATTCATTACTCGGGCTAGGGACCTCGGAATTCGATTCTGGGCATACGCCCAGGTCCCATATTTTCCCACGGACCCTCAGAAATTGCCAAATCACGATTCTGGGTCCGTTTTCCTAAAATGTTGACCGAAGTCAAACTTGGCCTTTTAAAAGAAACTTAAAGAAGCAACTAGACTTATTCTTGCTCAAAACTCTTCTAACTTCCGAACCACCCATCCCCGCAAGTCATAAATTAGCATAAGCAAGTGCGGGAAGTCTTATTTAAGGGAACGGGGTTCAAAAAATGCAAAACGACCGGTCGGGTCGTTACAGCTGCCATCATATTTGTATATGATGGAACAAAAAAATCCAGGATCATATACAAATATTGTGAGAGATGAAGAAAACAGGTAAATTTCTTATTTATGATAAGCTTTCTTTCCTGTAAATTATACTGGGTGAGTTCTGTTCAATCTATTATATTTTATTTTGTCCAGTATATTATACAGGATGTTAGTGGTTGTCGTCCAGTATATTTTACAGGATGTGTGTATTGTATAAGCTTTCTTTCCTGTAAATTATACTGGATGAGTTCTTTTTATTTATTACTTTTTTTGAGTGATTTTTTGTGTCCATTATTAAATACGGGACATAGTGGTTTAACAGTATATAAGTCCAGTTTAATATACAGGAAACAAAATATTAAGTTATGTATTTCAATTTTATTTCATTTTGTCCAGTATATTAAACAGGAAGTTAGTGTTTGTCTTTCGGTATATTTTACAGGACGTGTGTATTGTAAAAGCTTTCTTTCCTGTAAATTATACTGGGTGACTTCTCTTCAATCTATTGTATTTGATTTTGTACAATATATTATACAGGATGTTAGTGGTTGTCATCCAGTATATTTTACAGGATATCTGTATTTTATAAGCTTTCTGTCCTGTATAATATACTGGGTGAGTTCTGTTCAACCTAAAATTTTGTATTTTTAGCTTATTTTATCTAGTATATTATACTGGATGTTAATGGAACTCCAGCATGTCATACTGGAAGAATATTATAAAATAGTTAATTTTTGTTTGATGCCCGTAAATTTTACAGGACGTGTGGCTTGTATGAGCTTTATCTCCAGTATATTATACTGTGTAAGTTAACTGAATTTTATTTACTTTTCTTTTTACAGGTTTGTTTACATGTTTTTTATGTATGGGGCATCAATTTCTGGGTGGAAGTATTGTAGACCACTGATTGCTGTTGATGGAACATTTCTAAAAAATAAATATAGAGGTGATATGTTAGTGGCTGTTACCAAAGATGCAAATAACCAGATTTTTCCTATAGCTTTTGGAGTAGTGGATAAAGAGAATAATGAATCATATGAATGGTATTTCAGGGAATTAAGAAAAGCAATTGGGATTCGTAATGATTTAATGTTCTTGTCAGATCGACACAAGGCTATTGCAAATGGAATTGCAAAGGTTTTCCCTGAGTGCTACCATGGAATTTGCATCTATCATTTAGAAAAGAATCTGAAGCAAAGAAGAGTGAGAAACATTGTGATATATCTCTTTCAAAGTGCTGCAAGAGTATACCTTCAATCAGAATTTGATGACTTCATGTCCCAAATAGCTGCTGTTGATAAGAAAACTTTCAATTATTTGATGGAGGAACTGCCAGGAAGGTGGGCTCGTTCACATTGTCCCAGAATATGTTAACAACAAATATTGTTGAGTCAATGAATAATGTTTTAAGACGTTCAAGAGAATTGCCAATTTTAACAATTATGGATTTCATACAAGAAAAATTACAAAGCTGGTTCTATGAAAGAAGGATACTTGCAGAAGGAATATTCCGTGATATATCAAATTGGGCAGAAGCAACTATAGGTGTCCAACGGGACGGGACGGGACGATTTTAACGGGACGGGACGGGACGGGACGAGATTTAGGCGGGACGGTGGCGGGACGGGACAAAACGGGACGGGACAAACGGGACGAAACGGTCGTCCCGTCCCGTCCCGCCAACCAAACGGGACGGGACGGGACAGGTTTGTGGGCCTTAAGTGTATTTTTTTTTAAAAAAAAAAATTCTAGTTTTTTGAAAATTACTATGTTTTTAAAGTTTGCAACGGCTAGATTTTTGACTTATTTAATAAACTTAAATATTACTATGTTAGTATGTTAAAAAGAAAATTAGAAAACTAAGTAAAGAATTATAAAATATTAAAACAAAAGACTTGTAATGAAATAATCTAGTAAATATAAATTTATAATAGAGTTATAATTTATTTAATATAATTTCAAAGTATTAACTATTAAGTAACACCGACAAATCATAAAAATAATTCATCTCTTAGAGCCATTTATTTTATTAATAGAACTTTCAAATCTCAAATACAAATACAATTCTTTTGAAGAGCACCTAATCTACGCAGTCACCTTCTAGGAAGGGTTCTGTTTGAACTAGGCCTCTTAGTAGCCAATTACAAATTATCATACTAATATTTGTAAGCTCCTATATAGCTTCTTTGTAACTTATCAATAATATCTCTTGGATATTCTACTGGAATTGGCAATGTTGATTGATGTTCCATGAGCTCCATGCCATCATCGCTCCCAGTGGTAAGTATCTCATTGTATTCTTCTTCCTCCCTAGTGGTTAGTTTTTCAAAACCAAGATTTCTTCTTTCTGAATTAATCCAATCTCTGAATAAGACGGAAATCTCTAGACTGTCCTCCGCTAATGAATGTCTATGATCTCCAATTTGAAATCTTGCCGCGCTAAATGCACTCTCCGATGCTACTGATGATGCTTGAATAGCCAGGATATTTCAGGCCATAATTGAAAGTGTTGGAAAAGCCTTGCCACGCTCCCTCCACCATGACAAAAGTTGTTCCTTGCCTTCTTCGTCTTTAATATTTTCCAATCCTTGATTAAGATAAGAATCAAGTTCATCATCAATAGAGGAATCAAAAACCTGTTATATCATCCATATCTTCCCATAAAACTTCTGCTCCAGACTTAGAAGTAGAAGGAGCAGTTTTCAGTACTAGTTGTATCCA